GTAGCTTGGCCATCATGGAGCAGCCTATAATAATAGGTGTGCTTAGATGGTCGGATGCTAGCAAGAAGGTATCGGTGACAGTGTAGGTGCCCTTCCCGATGGGTAGACTGACCTTACCTAAAATGTCTAGTTGCCCGCCATTAGCAACATGGACTCTTCCGATAGAGGACTTAGGTGGGATAGTAATCTTCTTGTTGGGAGCGAGTTTCTTCAGAGTAGATAGAGCAATCAGGCTGATATCTGCGCCCGTGTCGAAGAGTACGGGTCGAGTGGTTCCGTACACACATAGGTCACCTACCACCATAGATACTCTATGGTTTGAGCGATTAGATACTGGCGGAACAGTAGAGGCCATGGCTCGGAAGGGAACGTCGACATCGGTAGATGTTACAGGTTCTATGCATAGTCCATCATAGGCGTTATCCTCGTGGATGACGTTCGCACCAGCTCCAGAAGGGATAACCGTAGAGTTAGATGGGGGTGTTTGAGGAGGAGTAATCTTTTTAGATTTCCCCTTACCGAAGTCTTTCTTAGGCTTAGGTCCCACCTTCTTCGGTTGATCTGCTGGTGTAGGAGCAGTACAGACATACGCTAGATGTCCCTTCTTCAGGCAACGTTGGCAGAATAACCTGTTGACTGGGACCTTGCAGTCTGTCTCTTGATGCTCTGGATTGCCGAACTTAGAGCATCTTTTCTGTAGATCGACCACCTTGGGCTCAGTACAGAGTCGAGCTGGGTGACCGCTCTGGAGGCACCGATAGCACTTTATAGATAAGGCATCGCTGCCAACGGCATGGCAATAGGTCTCTTCTTGAGGATCGTCTTCACACTCGATGACATGTAGACGACCTGTCGATTTACCACTGGGCTTGTTGACCGTAGATGAGCGTTGGAGTCGGCCCTGCCGCCTCCCCTCATGCTCTGACAGTCGATCCACAAATTTCTTATATGATATTTTGTGGTTGCCCACCTTGGTCTCGACCTTCTCCTTCAGATCGTTGGATGATGTACCATCATACAGACGTCGTTTGAGGGTAGACTCTCTCGGCCCAGCTCGTAGATATACCAGCTCGTCAGCTAGAGTTTCTAGCCTTGATATGAACTGGAATAATGTCTCGCTAGATCGCTGGGTACAAGTGTTGAATTTGTACTCGGCTCGAGACAAAGCCTCATCCGTGTCGAAAGTTTTGCGTAGTTTACGACAAAGTTGACGTAGATGATGCTCATAGCTTTGATGACATCTAGCCGGTGGCTCGGTCGCATTAGTTAGCTTACGCCATAGACCGGCATCGATGTTATTCTTAGCCCATAGATAACGGGTGACGGCATTGTGACCCTCCATAGCGAAGTCGATCTCATGGCAGAACATAGTGCCGCTTCTCTCGTCATCATAACCGATGAACGTAGATTTGGATTTGGCCTTAGCAGCATTAGATGCCGCTGAGTCGAAGTCCTTGTCAATAATGCGTGATATGCAAGGCATATCACGCATATCTTATGGCAACCCGGGCACTTAGAGTGGTACCCAGCAATAGATCGCTTCGCCGGAACGTAGAATTCCCCACCTCGGTCAGATCGGTGTAGGTGTCGCGAACCTTCATCACTAGATGAGCTTGACGAATATGACGATTCACGAGCACTACTAGATGACGATGATGACGACCGATACCTTCTAGATGACGTACGAGGCTTGATGTTCTTTGATCGCATGAGTCGCTCACCACGGCCAGCTATAGTACTTCTTGAACTAGATGTGGCAGAGCTGCCTTTTCCGTGTGAGCTCTCATTGCTCGAATCGAGGGGACCATCGCGCTTGATAGATCGATGTTGCCGTCGATGAGGAATCTGCCGTGATTCCATAAAGGTTGATCCTTGCACAGTCGCTGGATCACCAGATGCACCATTGCAAACATCACCAGCCTCATTGGATAGTCTCCACTGTTGAGGTTGATTGCGATGTAAATTAGATACAATGATATCAGAATGAGCTTGGACAGTAGGTGCATTAGCTGCCGACTCATATAGATGATGCCTATGTAGAACATCATAGTTGGGGTCATTGACTCCAAAGTTTGGTGAAGAGCGTTGAACAGCTCTCCCGGAATCCCCTTGAGGGCCCTGGCAATCGTAACAACCGTTGCCGTGTAGATCATGTCTACTTAGATAATTAGCACTCATAACACTAGGGTTAGAGATATGACCGAAGGTGACTTGAGTAAGCCCATTGGTCTTATGATATTGATGACCACCAGTACCATCACCAGTTTGATGGCCACAAACCTCAGAGGTTAGGTAACCACCACCATCACCATTCCCAGTTAGATAACCACCGCCATTACCAGTTAGATAAACACCACCATTATCACCACCACCAGTTAAGTAGCCACCACCATTATCACTACCACCAGTCTCAGTATGATCGCCAGCGTTGTAGACGTCATGGACCGGATTGGATCTATAAGGTAGATCCTGATAAGGACCGCCTTGGCAGTGTGAGGGTTCAGAGCCACAAGACCGTGCCGACCGGGGGCACTGAAGGGGCGCTACTAACCCTAGATCGTGTCTAGGCTTTCGCTCATCGGTCTTACCTTTGGTCTCGTGGTAGATGTGAC